TATTTAACAATTTGTGACAGTCAGTACGTTTTCCTCCATGGGCGAGTCTTCAGGATGCGTTCAGGTTTCTCTGTAAAATGACAATTTAGTCTTATTAACTTTGTGAGAGGATACAGCAGCTGGTGAGGGAATGACTGTTTATAGCTGCTATAATGTAAGTGATAACAGGAATTAACCTGACTCTCAGTCTTTGCACAGCAATGATAATAATCAAACGAATGTATAACTTAAGTAATATTATACTAATTGTAGAAACAAGTCAGTATTAATGGTGCAAAGTGCTAAAGGAAAATGTAACGTTTGTTGGAGTTAATGATATCATTTTGTTAACCACTTTTTTTTTTTTTTTTTAAATAGGCCAAGAAAAGTAAGAAGAAACCAAAACCAGAGGTGAAACCAGCCCAAGCTGTTTCCTCTACGGATGGAAAGGAACCTGATGAAGGTATGAAACTGAGTATTGATATAAACTGCACTGTGACAGTTGCACAAGCTCAGTGAGAAGATTAGAAATAAGGTCATTCTTCTATCTGAAGCAGTACATCTGTAAAGATTGTTTCATGGCATTTGTCCAGGTAATCATTTGCTGATTCATGGGTATGGAGATAAAATGGCATATCAAAGGTTAAACAAGAGCTTGTAAACATTAAACATTAAACATATGTGCAAAGGTTTAATCTAAGTCAACTAGTGTGTAGTCAGATGCTATTGGTATTGTAAATAATTTTTTTCACAAGATAATAAGCTTGGCAAATGATCGTTACTTAATCGTGCGTAATTTTGTAGCAGTCTTTCTCATCAAACCTTTGTTCCTCATGTTGTTGATTTCACTTCATTTTTCTAGTCTACATTTTTTCCAGATGAGAGTATTCAGAGTACCCTGTGCTGGGTATACAGTGGTAACGCATGTTTTTAAAATAATCTGCGGTCCAAGACAGGCCATTTGCATGAGAAATGTACTTGCTCATAGTGAGAAAGCACCTGAAAGAAACTCCAGGCTCCAGTGAATTAGTGATGTCGCAGCTGGTGTGAAGCGAATTAATGCACTTCTGGCTGTGTGAAATAAATGAATGGAACGTGTGGACTGCAGTTGTTGTTGTTAAATGTGTTTTGGAGGAGTTTTATTCAGTGTTCAGTGCTGAAGCATACTACTTCTGGCTTCTGTGCACCACATTCAGGAAAATAAAGAAAGTCTATATAGAACTGTGAAAGCAAAACAATAAGAAACAATGTTAGAGTTCTGAAACTGTAGGCACCTGAGCAGCAGTTCTGAAAACAGTTATATATTAAGATAAGTTAGAAAATCCCCAGTCTTTTCTCATTTATAGCCTACTGGTAAACCTCCTCGCATGGCCTACGATCTCAAACTATGCATTTAAGCTACATGATTTTCGTGTTCTCTGTGTTTATGTTGGATAGACACACAAAGATGTGTTTTGACAGTGTGAGTATGAGAGGAAGCCCCATCCCCAGTATGGATGGATTTCCTTTGACTCTCATCTTTTTTTTTTTTTTTAACTTTAGTAACAGAATGTTACTTTTGCTTAAAATTTGAAATGATTATAATCATTACAGCTTTGATGTATTTTTCATGAATCTTGCTTGTAAATCACTGTTGTGATTACACAACTCTTTAAAAGGTGCTTGGGAGACTAAAATCAGTAACCGAGAGAAGCGACAGCAGCGCAAGAAGGAGAAGGGCCCTAATGATGAGTCAGGAAGTCCTGGTGGTGGTCAGCATGTCGGTCAGCAATCAGAGCAGCCTGCAGTTACAGCTCCAGTGAACACCAAGAAGAATAAAGGTAAGCTGTTTGAGGATTCAGCTTTAATGACTGTGACCTGGTTACAGCGGTGGATTACCTTCTATCCAAACCAGTATATTTGTGCTTAAACAGGTAACATATAGTGTAATGTGTTTTTTTTGTTTTGTTTTTTTTTGCCAACTTTAAGCATATTTCACATCTGTCTCTTGGTAGAATCTCAGAATTTAAAGGCTGCGAAAGGTGATGCCAATGTAACACCAGGTAAATAATGATTTATTTTTTTCTAAATTCAAAGCTTGTTGCTAATATCTCCCTATAAGCATATCTAATGAAATGCCCCTTCCTTAGTGCTATCCAACTGGAATAACGTGAGCTCTGTGAATAGTGGAGGATGGACTGATATTTCCATGAAGGTTCCACCCAAGGGGAGCGCTCCAGACCATGAGAAATCATCTGTTGCCCTTAAAACGTCTGGACACAGGACTTCGGGGCCATTGGCCTGGGCTCAGGAATCGGAGGGTAGGGACTAGTCTTACTGATCTGTCTTGTAGCAGCGATGGGAAGTGTAACTAACTGTAAGGAAGTCTGACACAGCAATATGCCTTGTATTGCAGGTTTTTGTTTATTACGCAGTGTATTAGTTAACTTGCTAATATGGATATTTGTTATTTGTGTAAAGCTTTAGATTTCTTTATGCCCCCATTTTCTCATATGTTTTTAAGCCTCAGCCACTAGGTTCTACATGCATCTGTACATTCATCCATCCTGATGACCAGGGTCAAGGCCAAATGTCTCATAGTCTACGATTTTTTGGTTTTTCTGTCTGTCTGTCCATGCGTCCATCCGAGATGTTGTTAGTGAGATGTTTTGAGGTGGAGTGGTTAAATGTTTGTAGGATTTATATGGAATTATCATAGTAACCAGGAGATAAACTAATTAGATTTTGTAGTTGATCCAAACAAGGTCAAGGTCACAGCAAGGTCAAATGTCTGAAATAGTTTTTCTTTACTAAAAGTACATTTTAAGGGTATTTGAGGCATAAAGATAAGTAACAAGGACTAGACTTGTTGGTGGAGTTTATACATGTTTTCATGTTTGTCTGCTAAAAGAGGTAAAAATACACAGTAGATTATCAGATGTATAAGTCTATAAGTTAGCAGTTTCCTATTACTTCTTAATCAAATGGGTATTTACCAGAATAAAGAGAACATAAAATCTTTCTGTATCAATCACATGGATGAACTATAAATGTAACAGATTGTTGTGTTTTTAGCAGGGTCATGGCCCACCATGGATGGACGAATTAAGCCAGAAGTGAACCGAATGAACTTCTCCATGCTCAGATTAAACCCGTCAGGTATTCAGATAATGTTAACTGTTGCACTCTGAACACTTATGCATTTTCCCTCAGCTCAGTGGGAGATGTTTCAGGGTGTCTAATACACAGCATTTTGCTCTCACTCATATTGTTCAGATATTTTCAATGTCATTTTTTTAAAATGTATTGCTTTAGCATGATCCAGGGCTTTCCTACTGAAAATATTCTGCAGTAAGTAAAGCTGAGAGAGACTAATCTAAACCCCTTAATTGAGGATTAAGCCTCCACAGCAAAGTGCTTTAGTGCTGCATATGGGTTATGGTGAAAGGTAATATTCAAAGTGAGATTAGATCTGTAATGCAGCAAATGATCAACTTTAAAGAGTGACACCAGAGAACAAATGCAACATGATAAGGTCATGTGGCTGATAGGCTGGAGCTCTCTGAGGCTTCCTGTGCTTCATTCTCATAGTTTTGACATTTTTGAAGTTAGTAGAGGATATTATAATTCTTTTACATTTCAGGGGCAAGCCCTAAATTCTTTAGCTACACTATATGGCCAAAAGTTTGTGGACACCTGACCATTACACCCTTTTTGCTTTTTGAACCTGTTCCAGATTTAGTCCCCCATTTACTGTTATAATAACTTCCACTCTTCTGGGAAGGATTTCCACTAGATTTTGGAGCGTGGCTGTGGGGATTTGTGCCAATTCAGTCACGAGCATTAGTGAAGTCAGGCACTGGGGTGCAGTCGGCATTCCAGTGATCAAGTGTCGACAAACTTTTGGAAAATATAGTGAATCTCAGGTGAGCAAATTCAGGAAGTCAGTAAAATAACGAAGTTTGCAGCCACAGCTTGCGTTCACCAAAATTGAAAATTGGCCAAATACACAGTGACCACACAAACACTATGATCTTTTATCACCCCATACTTTCAATATCTTTTGCAGCAGCTGGCGTTCCAGTGACTCAGTCTGCTGCTGAGGTGGGGAATGGTTTCACCAATGCTGACGAGTGGTCTGGATTCAGTAAGTCAAATAATTGTCTGTGTTTAACAGGAATTGAACATAAGAGCACATTATTTTGATTAGCTTCCAACAAAAGTGTTAGTATATACAATGAACCATTACTGTTTCAGATGGTCTTGGTGCTGTAGATCCAAGTTCAGACTGGAATGCTCCAACTGAGCTGTGGGGGAACTATGATGAACCTAAACCTGAAACACCTGCTGCCCAAGAGACACCCGTTTCCCAGGTACCCAGGGTCAGTCAAAGAATACTCTGAATTGTCATGGTCATAAGTCCACAAATGGTCCAGCAGTGCTAACAACATGTGCTGTTTTAGGGTAATTTGATTAGATTTGTTGGCTTTTACACACTGTATAAATAATTATTTTAATTACCTGTTATACTGAGTGAAGGACTGGTTTGTTAGAAGGTGTTACTTAATCGATTAAGGCTATTAGACTTAAAAAGACAGAGTTCATTGTTCATCAGAGTTTCATAGACTTCATTGTACATCACTTTTTTCTGTGGCTTTATCTTAAATGGTGTGCACTACATGGAGTGCACTATGAAGGGTGTACAAAGCAGTTATGTTCTAACCTAGGTAGAGCATGTAAGTGGTGAACAGGAAGTCATTTGGGATTTGGCCTGTTTGTTTGCAGAGCATAAATTTAAAAAAAAAAAAATGTAAAATGAAGTAAGGACACATCAATAATGCCGATATTGAGTCAAAAGTATTTACGTTGTTGTTCTTTCGGCTGCTCTCATTAGGGGATCACCTTCCATTGTCCGCATATTGATTTGGCACAGGTGTATTTATTTATTTATTTTTTAAATACACGCTGGATGCCCTTCTCGATGCAACCCTCTCCATTTATCTGGGTCTGGGACCGGCACTGGCAGTGTACTCGCCTGTGTGCGCCCAGCGTGGGGCGCAAACCCACGGTCCTCAGATCAAGTGTCCCATGCTCTACCAACTGAGCTAGCCAGGCGCCTCAAAAGTATTTACATTAATGCTAGAAAAAACATTTATGTATTTTATTTTAAAAATATTTTTGTCCTAATATATTGCAATATCCCTATACTTTTGCATCCCTAACAAATTATGTTGTTTAATGACCTGTTGAGCTACAGCTATGCTGAGTGAAGCATTGGTTTGTTAGAGTAACTACTTCAATAGATATGCTAGTCCATCTTTAATAATTGAGCTTTGTTGTTTTTTTGTTTTTTTTCCTGGCATGGAATGCTTCTCTCTCAAGACAAAAAGCTCTCTGAGACTTTAATAAGGTCTCTTCCTTGTTGGCTGACCTATAAAAAGCCTGATATGTTAGTTATACTTGTTGTGTAACTTGATGTACTGTATGTATATCAGTTGCAGGAATCTGATGATGACAAGGATAAAGGAGATCCTTCTGGAAGTGGCAAGTCCAAGAGAAAGAAGAAAAAGAAGAAGAAGCCAGAGGATGAAAATGCTGGCTCACAGGTATGAGTACTTGGCTGCTGAAAAGAATTGCCATAAACTTTTTTTTTCTTTCATTCAGGTGTTTCTCAAGCAATCTTCTTGCATTGAAAAGTAAATCATGGGATCGGGGCGGCGCTAATTTTGGCTTAAGTAAAACAGGATAAGTTTGTTTTTTTTGTTTTTTTTACAAAAAAAAAAAGACAGCTCTATGGGCATAGAATGCCAACAAAATGAATGTACAGTTTTTATTTTTCTGTTTAAATTCGGCATGGGTGTTAAGGTTGTGCAGGTGACCACTGAGAGTTCGACTGCACCTGCAGAAAGTGGATTCGTCAAGCCCCGTCCTCATGTGCCAGTGGAGGAGCCGACCAAACAGATCATCGCTCCACAGTCAGGACAGAGTGAGTAGTCTGGCAGCGCAACAGTAAGAATTATTAAGAAAATGTGAGATTGAATGTTGATTGTGTCATTTTGTATCTACAATCTGTTGTGGTTTGCGTACAAATCAAGACCTGCCAAACTTCACACGTTTTACACAGGAGCTCAGCATGTTAAACGGTGGAGTATGCTAAAAGAGCAGTTTTTACCCCCAGTAAAATGTCAGATCAGCCAATCATCATATGAATCAGAAATGAGTGACAGTTACGCAAGTGTCCCATTTTAACTGGCACACCTGGAAGCCCCGCCCCCTCCCCTCCATCTCACATTAGTAATCTGTTGGCTGGTACTCGTGTTTCGCGAGTCACTTTTTTCCCCCGCGTGAAAGGTGCACTGAAGCTGTTCCCTCGCTTTCTGTCAAGGTAAATGGAAAATGGTTTGAGTTCAGAAATGTGAAATAAAATCCAGACATCAGACATGTTTATATATTTATAATTAACATCATTTAACTGTATTTATTAAGGATGCGATAAAAGGTTTGGCTGAAAAATGGCTAAAAACAGCATTTTTTTGACCACATTTCCATGTGACTATGAATTATTCCTTTTTAGGGTTGGCAGGTCTGCAAATGGCATGCTGTTTGCTTCTAAAAAAAACAAACAAACAAACTATTAACTACAATATATATTGCTTTCACAGAGAAATCTGATCAGAATTTGGAACCGCTGAAGCAAGTTCAGAAGAAAAAGGCCAGGAGAGAAACATGAATAACCTTGATCTCTTATGCAAAGGATTGTCAAAAAATGTTTATGCAATAATTTCAGAGTACAGAATTTTATACTGATTAAATCTTCTGTGCTATTTACAGAACATCTTAAGTGAGTTGGGCCAAGTTGGCCAAAAAAAAAAAAAAAATTATTACAGCAAATGGAGAACAACTTATGCACTATGCTAGACTGATGTCTCGTAAAAAGGATTGATTATTGTACTTGATATCATGCACGCTTTTAGTGCAGTGAAAGATTATATATTGTTGTCCAACTGCTACTTTTGCGATATGAATAGAATTTGAAAAGTTTGATAATATCATGGGGGAAATTTCAGAATTTTGAGGATGTGTGTGTTTCTTTCCATTTTGATTTCTCTTTCCTCTGGAACTTTTCTACTGCTGAATTGCATTCAGGAGCATTTGCAGTGTAGCAGTTAGTGTTAGACACCACTAAGAGACACTGTGCCATCAGAGCCATCATGAAGCGCATCAGAAGTCATCAGCAGCAGCAGGAAGAGACTGGTATATTACTGTATTTGGTCATCTGGATCTGAAATAAAAGGAGAGTACAGGTTACTACAGAGATATTTCTAACACTAAGAATATTCTCAGTGCTTTTTTTTCCTGTATTAAGTATATATTTTCACATAGAGAGGAACTGTACACACTTTTTTGAAATACTTGCTTTATCTTACCTTGTTAACTGTTGAATCAGTTTAATGCTCTTTGTTTCTCTTGCAACCTCTTCAGTAGAAAAAGCCAGGCCATATGTACAGAATTAATAAGGGCTTTTTTTTCTATAATTCTCTTTAATTGCACTGTGCTAAAGGTTGTAATAGTTTCTATTTTCGTTATTTTCCGATCTTCTTGAAATGTGAATGTTTAATTCCTGTCTAATTTTGTTTTGATATATTGTGATGGGTAGAGGGGGAAGTGATTTTTTAATGGCGAGAGAGAGAGAGAGTAACGGTAACAGCAGCTTTACCTCCATTTCACTATAAATAGTATCAGTATCTGGAATCTGTTGCCTTAATCTGTTTTTTTTTTTTCTTTGTAATGTACACATCTAACTGTCTCTCAAATTGAAGTAATTTTGGAAAGAGTTGTGGAATTATCATTTCCAGTTTGATGTCAGAGCTGCACTTACTGTTACACGAATCCTGTTTTAAATCTTTATAATAATCATCATCAAATAAGTGTCCACATTCTTTTTCCACTCATATAAGTACTACTCTCAACATAAAGGCTTTAATGGATGAGAAATGCGTATTGCTTTTCGTAGAACTGAAATAGTGAATTTCAATCTTTCTTTTCTTTTTTTTTTTCCCAGGCTTTTTTTCATGCCTTGCGAGTTTAATTTAAATGTGTCTGTATGCGGATTAACTGGGAGTTTGTCCCATGTTCATTTTTGTAAATTGTGGTAGATTTTGCGTACCCAAGGTACTCTGGTTTAGAATCGGACACCTGCCTTAGTTTTCCATTAGAAAGGTGGTCAAACCAGTGTATTTATACCTGTCTTCAGATTTTTGGATCCGGGAATGATCATGTTTACTGAAGTCGATGCAATATTTCTATGTTGATTTGTTAAAGAAATAAAACATTTGATCATTGTTATTCTGTGTGACTGTTTCGGTGCAGCTGGAGAATCAGTGACACGTGTAACTACAGTATAGGTGCTGTTTCTTTTTGTTAAATCTCAAATCTGAGATTAATTGCAAACAGCATCCAAAGTATGTTCCTTCCAGGAAAGTCCTAATTAAGCAAAAAGTATTACTCTTTAAAATATACTAGTTTAATTTGTATTTACATTGTGACTTATAGTCATGGCTGAATTCATTTGAATATGTAGTTTTTCCTGTGAACACGTTTGAGACAACAGAGAAGGAAAAGTATAAGATGCATAATAATGTTCTGAGACTTCCCTTCATCACAATAATGCCAATTTACAATTTTATAGATATTAATTTTAATAATGCACTATCCTGTCAGTGGTTAGTTTCTGTCCACCAGATCATAAGTGTGTGTATATATAAGGAATAAAACACTTGGAGGCATGCTGTTATAGAAAAATAATCAACAGTGGGGTGGTGTGATGCAGCCAAATGCATAGCAGGTACTGCTGCCACCCCAGAGTTAATTATTTTCCACTAACAGAAGTGTTTTATTCCTCTTATTAAAAAAAAAAAAAAAGCAGTTTGCCAACAATTACAATTTTTATTAATGCAAGTGGGTTATTTTCCTATAACAGCACAGCCAGAAGTGAGTTACTCCTCTTATACTGCAGCAATTTATTAATGTTTTTCACCTGTTTATGGTTGTTTGTCTACCATTTTAAATGTTGTAGAACAGGGGTCTTCACTCACTTTACAAAGGGCCGCTGTGGCTGCAGGCTTTCATTCCAACCAAGCAGGAGCCATTGACTTCAGCTGTTTCATCAGTTCATCGTAGTTTCCATTTAACTATCAAGTTAATGCCTCCAATTTGGCTGTAATGAAAGCGTGCAGCCACACAGGCCCTGTCCACAACAAGTTCGTTCCTGTTATTACTTGTTATAGTAACTATAAAGAGTTGCTCCCTTAGCAGTCTCTCTTGACATTAATAAGACAAAAAAAAAACCTTATCATGTGACAGAGAAACCGCAAACCCCTCTGTCCTGAAGACTCTCCCATGGCAGAATATTGACTGATTCTTACAGAGCACTACCACCTGATACTCTCATCAAGACTTTTTTCTTTGTTGAATAACAGCACATTTTATATCTATTTATTATTAGCCTTAGATTATGTGGTGCGTTCACCATAAAAGTCCTTGTGAATTATCCATTACTATAGAAAGGATAACAGAACACATGCATTAATTATAAAATTAATATAAAATTCAACACCTTCTGACCAATCAGGTAGAAATTCAACAGTGCTGTGGTATAAGGTAAAGTCACCAGTTAGTGCAGGTATATGGTAGGTAAACTATACCACCAAACAGTCACCTGACCAATCACACCCACATGTGCTTGTTGAACATCTCAATATAGATTTAGTCTCCGTTTGCTGTTAGTATAACCTCCACTTATCTGGGAAGGCTTTCCATTAGATTTTGGAGCATGGTTGTGGGGATTTGTGACCATTCAGCTACAAGAGCATTAGTGAGGTCAGGCACTGATATTGAGGTGCAGCCGGTGTTCCAGTTCATCCCGGAGGTGTTCAGTGGGGTTGAGGTCAGGGCTGTGCAGGACACTGGAGTTCTTCCACTTCAACCTTCACACACCATGTCTTCATGTTCTCATTGTGCACAGGGGCACTGTCATGCTGGAACAGGTTTGGGCCTCTTAGTTCCAGTGAAGGGAAATTGTAATGCTAGAGCATACAAACACATCCTATACAGTT